TGAATTTGCCAGGAAGAATGTGCATAGTGCCAATCAGAAAATTCAGGATGCTCAGGATAAGCTCTACCTCTCATGGGTGGAGTGGAAAAGGAGCATTGGATACGATGATACTGATGAGTCCCACTGTGCTGAGGTAAGATGACTGGGACAGTCATTCACTGATTTCTGAAGAAGTTCTTGTCAGACTTTTCATTTCAATTCTTCCATACTATGTCTTAGAATACTCTTCTGTATCAAAAGGTTGAACAATACCATGTGCATAGGTGGCTAGTTATGTGGCAGAAAAGCAAAACTAGGCAGGGAATAATTTTATCTAACAACCTATGAGTATACATATGCCCCAAGTGAGATACAACTAAATGAGAAACACAGGCCTTGCCCTCATAATGGGTACAGAATAACAGGGGATACAGCCAGCCATGCTGTCCTATTGTGCCTTTTTTTTTTTTCCAATGCTCCTTGCAGAAGAGGGCTATCCCATAGGCAGTACGCTCAGAGTAGCCAAGTCCGGTTGTTTTTTAACAGCATAAATACAGGCACTATTGGCCGGGTGCGGTGGCTCACGCCTGTAATCCCAACGCTTTGGGAGGCTGAGGTGGGCAGATCATGAGGTCAGGAAATCGAGACCATCCTGGCCAACATGCTGAAACCCTGTCTCTACTAAAAATACAAAAAATGAGCCAGGCATGGTGGCACGCGCCTGTAGTCCCGGCTACTTGGGTGGCTGAGGCAGGATAATCGCTTGAACCCAGGAGGCAGACGTTTCAGTGAGCCGAGATCACACCACTGCCCTCCAGCCTGGGCAACAGAGCAAGACTCTGTCTCAAAAAACAAAAGAAAATATATGGGAAGACTATCTCAGGCAGCCTTGGAGTAGGGGTAGGTGAGTCACATTGCTTCCTGGAAGAGATGAATGGGTGAACTGAGAACTAATGGGTGAATAAACTAGGTGAAAGGGCAATAAGGTGACTAAGGTTCTGGAGAGAAGACATAGCATCTTGACTGGGTGCAATGGCTCATACCTGTAATCTCAGCACTTTGGGAGGCCAAGGCAGGCAGATCACTTGAGCCCAGGAATTCAGGACCAGCCTGGGCAACTGTGAAATCCCCATCTCTACAAAAAATGCAAAAATTAGCAGGGCATGGTGGTGTGCACCTGTAGTCCTAGTTGCTCGGGAGGCTGAGGTGGGTGGATCACCTAAGCCAAGAGGTCAGGGCTGCAGTGAGCCATGATTGTGCCACTGCCCTCCAGCCTGGGAGACAGACTGAGACCCTGTCTCAAAAAGAAAAAAAGAAAAAAAAAAACAAAACAGAAAGAAATATCCTCTAGGATATTCTAGGAAATGTCCTAGAAAGTGGTTCTTTGTTTCCCAAAAGCTCTGAAGTCAGTAGACAGTGTTTCACCATTTTGGCCAAGATGGTCTCCATCTCCTGCAAGGAGCATGTCTTGTCATCTTATTTGAGGAGGGAATATATACATTACACTACTAGCATGAAGTACATTTCCATTCTTTTGGGTCTCCCCTACCTAATATGTTTCTTCAGTTTAAGATGATGAACTTTGGAGACTCAGGCACTAGTTCGAATCCCTACCCAGCTGTTTTCCAGTTGTTAACTGAAGCCATCTACTTAAACTCTAAGCTTATATCCACATCTATGAAATGTGTATGATACTGCTGCACTCGGCATTGTAATGAAGATTTTTAAAAGCCGAAGAATCCATATGTGTGGTGGACACATAACCAGCTTACTGTCATTGAACTAACTTAACATAGCACTGCTGGATCCACTGCTAACTTTAAGTTTTATTTTTAGCACATTGAGTCACGTACTCTTGAAATTGCCCGCAACCTGACTCAGCAGCTCCAGACCACGTGCCACAACCTCCTGTCCAACATCCAAGGTGTACCGCAGAACATCCAAGATCAGGCCAAGCACATGGGGGTGATGGCAGGCGACATCTACTCAGTGTTCCGCAGTGCTGCCTCCTTTAAGGAAGTGTCTGACAGCCTCCTCACTTCTAGCAAGGGGCAGCTGCAGAAAATGAAGGAATCTTTAGATGATGTGATGGATTATCTTGTTAACAACACGCCCCTCAACTGGCTGGTAGGTCCCTTTTATCCTCAGCTGACTGAGTCTCAGAATGCTCAGGACCAAGGTGCAGAGATGGACAAGAGCAGCCAGGAGACCCAGCGATCTGAGCACAAAACTCATTAAACCTGCCCCTGTCACTAGTGCATCATGTGGCCAGGCAGATGACCTGTTATGTTGAAATTAACTTGCTAGGCAACCCTAAATTGGGAAGCAAGAAGCTAGTAAAAAGGCCCTCAATTATAGTTGTTTCTAGCTGAATTAAGAGCTTTAAAGTTTCTGGCATTAGCAGATAATTCTGTTCACCTGGTAAGAAAAGAATGCTAGGCTTGTCAGAGCCTATAGCCAGAACTCAGAAAAAATTCAAGTGCACTTATGTTCTCATTCTGTGGCCATTGTGTTGCCTCTGTTCCTGTTTGTATTGAATAAAAACATCTTCATGTGGGCTGGGGTAGAAACTGGTGTCAGCTCTGGTATGATCTGAAAAGGCCTCTTCACTGGTTTATCTCATGATGATTACTTGTAAAACTTGATTTTAGCTTTTTATTTCTCAAATAGGAATAATACTACGTTTGAATTCAATAAAATTCACTGCAGGATAGACAAGTTACATGCTGTTTGTTCCATATGCTTTGTGTATTGCTTTCATAGAGCTGCTTAACCTGCATGACAGAGTTATTATACATACATGAATTTCAGTTGGCCTGTTGGGGGAATTTGGCAGAGTGAGAACATTGGAAGGCTAATGTTAAAAATGGGATGCTTGATAACAGATTAAAAAAAAACTAAAAGCTGATGTGCATACTCAAATTTTACTAGGTGGCAGTTGGCCCTCTTTGTTTGCCAACTTACTGGACCCCTATGAGTGGGTTTTTAAACCAGTAAAATGTCCTAGTCATGTCTGACTACCTCACTGAAAAGGAATCAGAGCTGAAAGGAAGCAAGTGATTATTTAAATCAGTGTCATGTAAAGTCATTGGGCATTTCTTGCCAGGGAACTAGTTAAAGCGTGAGTCCTAAAGAGAGATTCTTCAGTGTCCAGCCTCAGCTGTACTTTATTTACTGTGTTGTTATTTTGGGAGAAAGTCACTAACCTCAGTTGTTGTTGGGGAAGTACGTATAGAAGACCATGTGAGACTAATTAGAAGTAAAACGACTTTAAGCCCCCTGTAGACAAAGGTTCTTTTTTTTTTTTGAGACAGGCATGAGCCACTGCGCCCAGCCAACAAGGGTTCTTCTTACCTCCTGCCTATAGTATCCAGACTTCTGGTCCATTCAACATTGGTTATTTAGAAACTATCCTGAATCTCCTTGTCACACATATGCAATATGTCAAACTAGTTTTTAAAAGCGAGTCTCAGAACTTGTGAAATAGGCCCGGTGCTGTGGCTCACACCTGTAATCCCAGCACTTTGGGAGGCCGAGGCAGGCAGATCACCTGAGGTTAGGGGTTTGACACCAGCCTGACAAACAATGTGAAACCCTGTCTCTACAAAAAATACAAAAATTAGCCTGGCCTGGTGGTGCGTGCCTATAATCCCAGCTACTTGGGAGGCTGGGGAAGGAGAATCCCCTGCGTCTGGGAGGTGGAGGCTGCGATGAGCCAAGATCTTGCCACTGCACTCCAACCTGAGCAACAGAGTGAAACTCTGTCTCAAAAAAAAAAAAAAAAGGGTACGAAATAGAGCTACATGCTTCTGGCTGTCCCTGCTAAAAGGTAAGCAGGGCTGCCCTCAGCAGAACTGAAGTCTAACTCAAATTCGTCTTTTTCTATCCTGGTTCACCTCTTTATCTCCATGAAAACGAGGAAGCAGCACATAACTTTACATGCTCCTTTGGTATGAATGAGTCTATTAAGCTTTTTTATGGACCAGGCATGGTGGCTCATGCCTGTAATCCCAGCACTTTGGGAGGCCGAGATGAATGGATCCCTTGAGGTCAGGAGTTTGAGACCAGCCTGGCCAACAGGGTGAAACCCAGTCTCCACTAAAAACACAAAAGTTAGGCCGGGCGTGGTGGCTCACACCTGTAATCCCAGCATGTTGGGAGGCCAAGGTGGGCAGATCACGAGGTCAGGAGTAGCCAACAGTGGCCAACCTGGCCAACAAGGTAAACCTCGTCTCTACTAAAAATACAAAAATTAGCTGGCCATGGTGGCGTGCACCTGTAATCCCAGCTCCTCGGGAGGCTGAGGCAGGAGAATCTTTTGAACCCGGGAAGTGGAGGTTACAGTGAGCCGAGATTGCGCCATCGCACTCCAGCCTGTGCAGCGACAGGGTGAGACTCCATCTCAAAAAAAAAACCAAAAATTAGCCGGGCATGGCTGTATGCACCTGTAATCCTAGCTACTCAGGGGCTGAACCAGGCAGGTGGAGGTTGCAGTGAGCCGAGATCTTGTCACTGCACTCCTGCCTGGGCGACAGTGAGACCCTGTCTCAAAAAAAAAAAAAGCTTTTTATCAAGTTACAAATTTTTTCTCCTCAGTGTAACTCTAGAAATCAATAAACAGGTGAGTTGAGTTGGAGGGTAGGCAGGAAGTCCCTAGGATTTGTTTTGCTGATAAGGAGCTTCTGGTTTCTGGGAAGGATGGACTTTTGTGATGTATGGGTTCCCAGGATAGAGCCTATTCACTCACTTGCCTCCCTGTTCCCAGTGACTGGCATTTTCTAGGCCTCTGCCTCTTAATTTTTTTTTTTTTTTTTTGAGAGAATCTTGCTCTGTTGCCCAGGCTGGAGTGCAATGGTGTGGTCTCAGCTCACTGCAACCTCTGCCTCCCAGGTTCAAGCTATTCTCCTGCCCTCAGCCTCCCAAATACAGGTGTGTGCCACCACTCCTGGCTAGTTTTTGTCTTTTTAATAGAGATGGGGTTTCACCATTTTGGACAGGATGGTCTCGAACTCCTGACCTCAGGTGATCCGCCTGCCTCGGCCTCCCAAAATGCTGGGATTACAGGCGTGAGCCACCACGCGCAACTACACATGCTTTCTTATCTTGAATATACACCTTTGTGTTTCCCTATTAATAAGAGGTACAGTGTGTTACTTAAGTTAGCACAAATTAGAAAAAAAAAAAAAGAATTGTAGTGCTTACTGAATAGCTTATGAAAAGAAGAGCGGTCTCAAAGCTCTTCTTCCTGAGCAGGGGCAGGATAAAATGTAGACCATTCTTAGCTTCTAGAAGAGCACCAGCAGCCCTTGCTTTTTGCTGTGAGCTGTGTACATTGGTCATGGTTTTGCTGTCTGTCTTTGTGTTTCAAGTTTGTGTCTATATGTATTTCATTCGTTTGTCAACATGTCTCAGGATTTGTGGTGTTCTGGAATTTTTTTTTTTTTTTTAGATGGGCTCTTGCTCTATTGCTCAGGCAATAGTGCAGTAGTGGGATTGGCTCACTGCAACCTTCGCCTGCCAGGCTCAATCGATTCTCCCTCCTCAGTGTCCTGAGTATCTGGGACCATAGGCATGCATAATCACACCTGGCTAATTTTTGTATTTTTGTAAAGATGGGGTTTCACCATGTTGCCCAGGCTGGTTTCATACTCCTGAGCTCAAATGATGCACTCACCTCGGCCTGCCAACGTGCAGGGATTCCAGGCATGAGCTACTGAACCTGGTCTGTGTTCTCACATCTTGCAGCTTCATTGTTGCATAAACTGGCAGAAAATTTTGGTTTCACAGACTTGTCTTCCTCCAGAAAACAGTTCTTTTGAGGGAAAATACTAAGGCTGACACAGTATGTAACCATGGCAGGTTCGTAAACATATGACTGCATGAAACCTGGCATGATGTGCCTCAGGGAGGGTTCAAGAACATTTTTTCCTTTGCCTGTAATAATAACATAGTCTTTCTAGTTTGTCCTATGCAAAAATGCAAAGGAACATGATGCATTGGCCATTAATCTCTGAGCCTTAGTTTTCTCATCTGTTAAGTTAATGTTGCCTCAACAGATGGAAGTGAGTGTTGAGGATGGGGATGTGTTTTTTTAATTTGCACTAGAAGCATGGGGACATCATCTGTGGGACAGTGATATGTAGTATCTTTAACTTGGCAGTTCAGATGTGAGTATATAATACCAGCTCATGGTTAGGAAAATATATCCACTTTGAAAAGGCAGTTTATAGGTATTAAAGAACTAATGAAACTGGGCCTAGTGGTATGCACCTGTAGTCTCAGTTTCTCAGGTAGCTGGGACAGGAAGATTGCTTGAGCCCAGGAGTTTAAGGCTGCAGGAAAGAAACAACTGATGAAGTGAAAAGGAAAAAACTAAAATTTGGTTTACATAAGATACAGGGCTCAAGGTCAACTTAAGCCAAAGACTTGTTTTATGGTATCTTTCTTGGTTACCTTTTGAGATTCTGATGCTACCCTGTTCCTTCCACCCCAAAATGAACTTCTTTAGAACTGAACTTATAAAACTTTAGTTTTAGAAATTATCAACTCCTGAAAAAAAAAAGTGGTATTAATTTGACCCTCACTGGGCTAGACCCAGGTCATATTTTTAGGACTGGTGAGGGTTAAGGACCTCTAACTAACCATCCTAAGCTGAGAGTCAGGAATAGAATGCTTAGAAGGAAAAGACTGAATCAGGAAATTATACTCTCAATTGGTGGTGAGAGGGAGCACTTCGTTGAGTTTGACAGATGAAACTGCTGATTAACACAGTACATCTTTAATTGTTAAGATTGCCCAGGTGCGGTGGCTCATGCCTGTAATCCTAGCACTTTGGGAGGCCGAGTCAGCCGATCACTTGAGGCCAGGAGTTCAAGGGCAGCCTGGCCAACAAGGTGAAACCTTGTCTTTACGAAAGATACAAAAATTAGCTGGGCATTGTGGCTTGCTCCTGTAATTCAAGCTACTGAGGCATGAGAATTGCTTGAACCTGGGAGGCGAAGGTTGCAGTGAGCCAAGATGGCACCACTGCACTCCAGCCTAGGTGACAGCGAGACTCCTTCTCAAAAAAAAAAAAAAAATTGTTAAGATTGTCAGTAAGATGACTAAGTGAAGCGATAGACAGGCAGTCAAAAGGAAAATGTTTGCAATGGGAGGTAGACAGAATTGTCTGGGATTCTTCTCAGGTTTTACTTGCTTAAACTGGGCCTGCAGATTAGAGATATGATATGAAATATAATATAATGAAAGGTTTTGAATCTCACAAGGAAGTCTTGATACAGAATATACTTTCTAGGTTTTTAGCTGGTATGGATTTTATGAAAGTGCCATTTGAGAGTGTCATATAAAAGATAGTAGAGCTGGTGGGGCACAGGAGCTCATGCCTGTAATCCCAGCACTTTGGGAAGCCAAGGTGAATGAAGCACCTGAGGTCCGGAGTTCAAGACCAGCCTTGCCAACATGGTGAAATCCCATCTCTACTGAAAATACAAAAATTAGCCGGGTGTGGTGGCACACACCTGTAATACCAGGTACTTGGGTGGCTGAGGCAGGAGAATCACTTGAACCTGGGAGGTGGAGGTTGTAGTGAACCGAGTTTGACCCACTGCACTCCAGCCTGGGTGACAATGAGACTCCATCTCAAAACAAACAAAACCGAAATCCAGTGTCAAATTTTCCATTTTTTTCAATTTTTAAATGTATAATTCTGTAGCATTAAGCACA